CCCTGATCTTTGCCTTTTCCACCCTGCCTTCCTCCTGCAGACGTCTCCTTTCCCCTTCTTACTCCTCGTTTCTCCCTGGTCTGCCCCTCTAGTTGCACCCCCACTTGGCCAACTGACCTCCACGGGCCCTCTCTTCAGGCAACCCCTCCACGTGCCTTCTCGGTTGCCCCCTTTTACTGCTCCAGCCCTGTGAGGAAACCCCTCCCACAAACAAACAAATAAACAGGGACTAGTAACTAGTAGCTGTGGTGGCTCAAGTGGTCAAGACACTGAACTGCAGGCTGTGGAAGGTCGGTAGTTCAGCAGTTCGAGACCAGAGTGTGCCGCATGATGGAGTGAGCGCCCGTCTCTGGCCCCAGCTCCTGCCAACCTAGCAGTTCGAAAGCAAGAAATTGCAAGTAGTTAAATAGGTACCACTTCGGTGGGAAGGTAACAGCGTCCCGTGCGCCTTGGTGTTTAGTCATGCCGGCCTTTGAAACGAAGATGAGCGCTGCAACCCTAGAGTCGGATTCGACTGGCTTTCGAGCAAGGGAACCTTTACCTTTTTACCATAGTCCCGGCTCCCACACTCCCTTCTCCAGCCTGCTTGCGGCTGGCTCACAGCCTGACTCACCGGTCCGCATGCATCAGCCAAGCCGCTTCCTATCATGTCCCCAGCCAACTTTCAGTCCTCCCCCAGCTCCCACTTCCCTTCGCTTGCTCAGCAGCCCCTGAAGTTTCCGGCAACAAGTGTGCCAGAGGGTGTCCCGTCCCCCGCCCACAGACTTTGAAAGAATTTCTCCCTTAAAAGACAGCCCGGTCTTGAAGCACAGGCAGAGTTGGCTTCTTCGCAGCCTCTGTCCCTCGGAATCTTTCCGTTTTTATTGCAATTCTCACTCCCTCTCAAATTTGCATTCGCTGCTCCCCTGTTAGCACAATAAGTTTCCAAGGCAGGGCTTGGAGAATGATCTGGTCCCATTCCCCAACTTGTACAGCCTCCTTTTATCTTTTTTTTTAATCCCCGTAGGGATATTTTTTATTTTGCATATACTACAAACTACAAAGAAATATAGGGGAGGGACTACAACTAGGGATAAAGAAAAGCAAACCACACTAGACTAAAACCCCAAGAGAAGATCTTTTCACTGATAGTAAATATGTTAGTACCATTAGTTTTATTATCACAATATACTCGTTGAGTTCTTGCTTATAACAATTCGCTTCTTGTATGTTATTTTGTTAGTTGTTATGAGAGAAGTCTCTGATCATCTTATTCTTTGCTTCAAAAGGCCATTTTCCAAGTCCTTCTGCCTTTACTTCGGCTTTCTGTCTCTAAAATCGTATACCACTCTGGCAGGTCCTGCACCCTTTTCTGCTGCAGAATCCTCTTCCGTTCCCAAGGTAGCAGAGTCACTCGACTTCGATTCTCCCTCCTTAGACTCATCATCTGTCCCCAGCTGACGTTTCAAAAATTCTTTAGCTTTAAAAGTGGAGTCTATCTTCTCCCTTCTACCGTTGATCTTAAAGATGAAACCCTCCGGAACCGCCCATCTGTACAATATTCCATTCGTTTGAAGAAAATAAATTAATTCCTTGTAATTTTTCCTCTTTTGTCTAATTTCAAATGGAATATCCTTTAAAGTTTTAATAGTTAATTTCCCATTTTCAGTGGAGTTGCTGATGTTGCTTTTAAAATGGCATCTCTGGTTTGTCTTCTTGAAAACTTGACCACTATTTCTCCAGGTAGGCTATTTTTTTTTAATATAGTTG